CTCTAACAAAGTGGCTGATGCACTCTCCCAGGAAGGTTTCCCAGAATCAGCCGGGTAAAAATATCTCTGCATTCTAAGTCATTGTAGTCCTTGAAATGTAAAAAGTACTGTTTAGTTCTTCATGTAATTATTAGTAAAATTAGAGGTGCACGTATCTTATTAACTCTGTTTCCTAAACCTCCAGGAAGAAATCCCAGCCGGTGTGGACCCGACCTGAACCAGGCTGGCCAGCACCGTCTGTGATTTGGGGGGCATGTGATAAATGAAGTGGGGCGGGGGAGCTCCCTTTGATGGACACCCAGCCAGCCAGTTAGCTGTAAAATCCCTCTTGGTATCTGTTCTCTACTTGCTTTATCTGTAAAGAGTTAAAAAGTCCCCCAGGTAAAGGAAAAGAAAAAGTGGGCACCTGACCAAAAGAGCCAATGGGAAGGAAAAACTTTTTAAAATTGGGAAAGAAAGTTTCCCTTTGTCTGTTGTTCTCTGGAGAAGGAGACACGGAGCAGCAATGCTATAAGCAGGAATGCTGTGTAAGGCTTGAACCAGGTATAAAAATTCATCTTCCATACCTAGAAGAAATCATTGGACAGGGCATGTTTAAATAGATGCGATTAGGTTAATTTTTGTTCATTTTTTAAGGCTTGTGGACTCCTCTGTGCTAACCCGAGATGCTTTTGTTTGCTTGTAACCTTTAAGCTAACCCTTAAGAAAGCTATTTTGGGTGCTTAATTTTTGAAATTCCCAAGTGCTCCTTCCTCGGTCCAAGGGTTTTTTTTGCATTTGGGTGATGGCAGCATTTACCAAGCCAAGGTCAGAGAAAAACTGGAACCTTGGGAATTTAATACAAGCCTGGAGTGGCAAGTATTAATTTTTAAAATGCTTGCGGGCTCCCACCTTCTGTACTCAAAGTGACAGAGTGGGGATTCAGCCTTGACACCTCTCAACCGTCAATGACAGTTTGGTCTTAGAGGCATCAGCACTAGGGTGGGGAGCTCACCTGGGGCCCCTCAGAACTCAAGGCCTTTGATCTCCAGAGGAACTTTCAGTCCACATCAATGTCAGGGAACTCAGAGTGGTTCGCCTAGCATGTCAGGCCTTCCTGCCCCACATTATGGGCAGAAACTTGTTTGTTCTCACGGACAACACTGTAACCATGTTTTATCTCAACAGGCAAGGAGGAGCTTGCTCTTCCCTTCTTTGTCAAGAAGCGACTCAGCTATGGGGAGTTTTGCATAGCCCACTCAATCAACCTCGAGGCCTATTACCTTCCAGGAACACAAAACAAGCTGGCAGATCACCTCAGCAGGTCTTTTTCCAGTCACCACGAGTGGTCCCTTCGCCCGGATGTGGCGAGAGATGTTTTCTGGCATTGGGGGACTCCCCAGATAAACCTATTTGCAACTAGGTACAACAGGAAGTATCACCAATTCTGCTCCCTCCCAGGCCACAGACCAGGTTCTATCATGGATGCCTTTCTGCTACCAGGCATGGGACATCTTTACTACACTTTCCCCCCTATCCCTCTTGTGCACAGAATACTGCTAAAGATCAAATGGGACCAGGCTCTTCTTGTTCTGATAGCCCCAGCAAGGCCCTGCCAACACTGGTTCTCGTAGGCCTCTCAATGTCAACTCCAATCCTGCTTCTTTTATACCCGGACCTGATCTCTCAGAACTACGGTTGGCTGCTCCACCCAAATCTGAGCTCCCTTCAACTAACAGCTTGGAAGCTCCATGTCTAAATCCCAGAGAGCAGACTTGCTCAGAGCAAGTTTGTCAGGTTCTGTAATAGAAACCCCTCCACCAGGGCTACGTACCTTTCAACGTGGAAGTGGTTTTCTTTCTGGGCGTTCCAACGCAGAGTCTCACCCACGCAGTCATCCTTACAAGAAATACTTGAATACCGATTGCACCTGAAACAAGAAAACTTAGCAATCCTCTATCAAGGTTCACCTTGTACTAATATCACTTTCCACCCTTGGGTGGATAACTGATCCTTTTTTCCAATAACATGTATATCCGATTCTTCAAAGGCATAGAAAGATTATACTCTCAAGTTAGAGAGCCCATTCCTCCCTGAGAACTGAACTTTAGTCTATTCAAAGCTTATGGGACCACCATTTGAACCTTTGGCAACGTGCTCCTTATTATACCTCGCCTGGAAAGTAGTTTTTTTAGTGGCTATCACATTGGCCAGAAGGGTCTCGGAGCTCCATGCCCTCATATCAGAGCTTCCATACACAGTCTTCTTTAAAGATAAGGTGCATTTATGTCTTCACCCCACTTTCCTCCCAAAAGTGTTTTTGCAATTCATAGCAATCTACCTATCTGTCTTTTACCCAAAGCCATATGCAAATAGGAATGAACAATGCCTTAATTCATTGGATGTTAGATGAGCCCTAGCTTTCTACATAGACAGGATTAAACCATTCTGAAAGTCCACCTAACTGTTCGTAACTGTAGCTGACAGGGTGAAGGGTCTCCCAATCTCTTCACAGACAATTTTGTCATGTACAGTATCACTTCATGTAGTTGTACACCTCTACCTCAATATAACGCTGTCCTCGGGAGCCAAAAAATCTTACCGTGTTATAGGTGAAACCGCATTATATTGAACTTGCTTTGATCCACCAGAGTGCGCAGGGCCCCCCCCCCCCCCGGGAGCACTGCTTTACCGCATTATATCCGAATTTGTGTTATATCGGGTCGTGTTATATCGGGGTAGAGGTGTACTTGTTACAATCAAGCAGGTGTTTTGCCACCAGCTAACCTGACTGCTCATTCCACAAGGTCGCAAGCATCCTCAGCAGCATTTCTAGCGCAGATCCCTATTAAGGACATTAGTAAAGCAGTGACCTGGTTATTGGTGCACACATTTTCCTTCCATTACACCGTCACTCAACAGTCCAGAGATTATCCCAAATTTGGTCGAGCTGTTCTGCAGTCAAAGTGTTGATGACCTATTCAACTGCTTGGGGGTCACCTAGAGTGGAATACGTATGTGAAATCACTGGAAGAAGGAAAAACGGTTACTAACCTTCTGTAACTGTTGTTCTTTGAGATATGTTGCACATGTCCATTCCATGACCTGCCCTCCTACCACTCTACCTCAGAGTTTTCTGGAAAGAAGTAACTGAAGGGGAGTGGGGTCATCTGGGTGCTTTATACTGGCACTATAGAGGGTGCTTGAGCTGCCCCAATGGGTCCCACTGCGGGAAAAAATTTCTGGCGACTGTGCTTTGGCACGCGCACACCTACAGTGGAATGGACATGTGCAATACCTCTGGAAGGACGACAGTTACAGAAGGTTAGTAACCGTTGTTTATTCTACACCCACTATGCTCTAGCGCCATCTAGCCAGCTTCTAAGGTAGTGCACTCCCTTCTGAGGCCCCAATTCAGCAAAGTACTTATTAAATATATGCATAAATCCTAAATCCTATTGCGGTCTATGGGATTTAGGCACAGATTTACAGTTAAGTACTAGCTTAAGTGCTTTGCTGACAGCTGGGGCCCCATCCTATAAACACTTATGTATGTTACAGGAGTTGTGTATAAAAAGAAATATGTATATGTGTGTGTGCACAGGAAGAGACCTGGTCAGAAGCCAGAATTTCTGTTCCACGGGAAATGCTGACATTTCTGGGGGGGGGGAACTCATTCCAAATCCAAATGAGAAGCCGAAATGTTATAACTTCCCATGAAGAAAACTTCTGATTCAGGACCATTAGCAAGTTCTGTTTGAATCATGTCAAATTGCTTCATTTTATGATGTCAGAATGTTTCATTCTGTAAGGTATGTCATTTTGACTTTATTGCTTTGATTCATTTCATTTAGACTTTTTTATTATTTTAAAATATTTATTTAATATATTTAATATTTTAATACAATAGTGGAACAAAATTAATCCAAATGACAAAGTCAAAATTATACATTTTTACTGTATTAAAAATGAAATATTTTGTTGTTGGAACAAAACGAGAATCCCATAAAAAATCATTGAAAATTTGCCACAAAACATTTTGATTTCAGCTAAACTGCATGTTTTGACAGAAAACGATTCCATCAAAATTTTTTCAACCAAGTGCTAATGTCTAGTTGGTACATACTGTACATAACGTTTGCCACCTAGTGGGCTGTATGAATAATAGGATCTGTTGCATTGTTCATTGGCTTATGGGTTCAATAAAGTTGTTGTTATGATTGTGAATGGCTTCCTGCGGGCAGCTCTTCCTGCACATGTTTAACTTTACCCATGTGAGGCCCATTGACATCTAAGGGCTCATGGGTGTAAGTGTTTTTATACTCGGCGCCCCAGACCTGTCTGTGCCCAATCCAGAGCTCTGCACAAACGGTGTGGGTATGGGAAGCAGTTGCCTCCCTGCCTGCAGAGACTGTAGTGGAGCACTGCATCCTGTGAAAGCAGCCAGGTTGGAGTCACATTATAGGGCAAGTGCCTTTTAAGAAGTGCGCACTGTTCTGCCTGCAGGGACAGGAGGAGTCTTTCTGTCGCAGTCCATCTTCCTGAGAGAGGATGTAGGTCAGATGGCAGCTATTTGTGTTACAGGATCACTCCAGAGGCCCAAATGAGTTCGGGCCCCCCCCCCACTTGTGCCAGGCGCTGCACAGACCCTGCCTGAGATTGGGGCCTCCCCTTGTGCCGGGTGCTGTACACACCCCAACTTAGATTGGGAGCCAGTTCTGCTGGGCAGTGCACAGATCCCACCTGATATATATGCCCTATTATGCCAGGTGCTATACAGAACCTGCCAGTCTCAGTCAGGATCTGTGCAGCATACAATGTGATGGGATGTCTTGGTATAGGAAATTGCACAGCACTTGGCACTACAGGTGCTAGTGTAAAATAAGTAGTAACAGCTAGATCATTGCTCCTGGTCTGGTGAGGGCTAGAGACCAGATACCAGAGTAGATGGGTCATCGATCTGATCTGTTGCAACAATGCCTCTGTTCTTATTTCCTTTTGTTTATTTCTGTCCCACATAGGGTTGTGGACAGCTTGGTGTCCCGTGGCGCAAACTTCCTCTGTGACAAAATCCACCCTGTGCTGGGCAGGGCTGTCAGCCTCCTGATTCCCCATGAAGTGGCTGAAACTGGCTTCACTGGGGAGCTGGAAGTCACGCCAGCTGCCGCGCTGTGCCCCTGCCTGAAGTTGTATCCCAATCAGCCTGCTAAGATTGCTGCTGTCTCCATATCCTTTACCAGAAGAAATATTTCCATATGGGGCTGACCAGGGCTTCAAGGGGCCATGGGCCAGCTGCACAGAGGTGAATTGCACCTGAGAGGGATGCTCGAAACACAGGAGTCGCTTCATCAGGAGCCACCATAGCAGAGAGCAGTTTAGCCCACAATTGTGTGCTGAGCATCGGGCCTTTGTATTTGTCCAAAATGCTTATCTGGCCCCCACCACTGTAGTGTCTGAGCACCTGGTACTCTTTACTGTACTTATCCTCCCAATCCCCCAGGAGGCAGGGCAGTGCTATTATTCCCCTGGTACAGCTGGAGAACTAAGGCACAGAGAGGCTAAGTGACTTGTCAAGGTCACCCAGTGAATCTGTGGCAGAGCAAGGACTTGAACCTGGGTTTCCTGAGTCTCATTTTAGCACCCTCTCCACTGCAGTGTTCTTCCTCTCAGATAGGCTCACAAGCCATCTCATCCTATTGCAATTTTCACTGGTCACAACAAACGGAGGAGTCAATTTCAGCTCTTGTGGGGCTCTCATTAATCCTCAGAGGCACTGAGGTGTGGATCCAGCACCCTTCAGGGTTAGGCCACCCTGAAAAAGCTGCCACAGAGAAAGTGTGCTGAGTGAAACTCTCCTGTGCTGTGGATCAGGACAGATAAAGATGTAAGAATGGTTCTTTGGGCCTTAACATCCACTACAATGTAAAGAGCCAGAGGTCTCCAAAATCACACTGCTCCTGGAAATTGCTGTACCTTGTCGCATGTAAGAACACTAGGACTGAAAGATCATGTGTTTACAAGGGCGAGCCTCCGGCATAACTGCAGGAGAGGGAAAGGTGTTGGTTGCACTCAGATTTCTTTGCCTTTAAGTCTCACAGTGGTTTCTTCCTTAGCCAGCAATACATATTTTTCTACGACCCCGCGGGTTTGCCCATATCATTCTATGCAAAGGGGAAATCATCTTTGTTCTTCAATGACCCATCGAACTTAGCAGAATGGGAGAAGTACAGCTATAGTGCGACACTGGACTCAGATCCAGGGCAGGAAGAAGGTGCTGTCATTCTCAAAGGCGATTGTGTAGAGCTCACAGCCTTCTCAGAATCTAAAGATCCCTAACCAAGATCAGGGCCCCACCGTGCTGAGTGCTCTACAGTCCCCAGCCGAGATCGGGGCCCTGTTGTCCTGGGTGCTGCACAGATCCCATCTGAGATTGAGCCTCAATTGTGCTGGGTGCTGCACAGATGCATAGTTAGAGCTTCCCATATTGGTTGGCTCAGATCTCAAGACAAATCAGAATTTGTCTGTTGCCAACAGCGCAAGCATCTGAAAATCCACTGACTTGTCACAAAAGATGCACTCAAACTTGAACTGGCGATTTGGTGGCAAAATCTGACCCACCTCACTCCAATCCTGTTGTGTTAATTTGGCAGGGTGGTCAGTGGTAAAGACAGAGAAGAGAGGGAAGGTACGTCTACACCGCAAAAAAACCCTGTGGCACCAAGTCTCAGAGCCTGGGTCAACTGACTGGGGCTTGCGGGGCTCACACTACGGGGCTAAATATAGCAGTGCAGGTGTTCAGGCTTGGGCTGGAGATCAGGCTGTGAAACCTGGCGATGGGGGTGGGTGTCAGAGCCTGGGCTCCAACCCGAGCCCAATTGTCTACACCAGCGGTTCTCAAACTGTGGGTCGGGACCCCAAAGTGGGTCCCGACTCCATTTTAATGGGGTCACCAGGGCCAGCATTAAACTTGCTGGAACCCCGGCAGAAGCTGAAGCCTGAGCTCCACCCCCACCCTGGGCAGCGAGGCTCGGGCTCTGGCCTCCTCTTCCCCAACTCGGGGCAGCGGGGTTTGGGCTCCGCCCCCACCTGGGGTCATGTAGTAACTTTGTTATCAGAAGAGGGTCACGGTGCAATGAAGTTTGAGAACCCCTGGTCTGCACTAGTTTTGGCCCCTTGCCTCAAACTCGAGTCAGTTGACCTGGGCTCCGAGACTGGCTTTTTTTGTGGCAGACATACCCTCGGGGCAGGGCTGTGGAGTGAAGTGGGGGGCCTAGACAGGCAGGCACAGGAATGGGAGTCAGGACTCCTGGCTTCTAGTCTGTCTCCTGCTGCTGACCTTGGACAAGTTCCTTTCCTCCTGGTGGCTTTGTTTCCCCTCCCCCTTTTGGGGGCATGGACGCTCTCTTGTGTGTCTGTGCAGGGCCTGGCATGGCAGGGGCCGCAATCTGAGTCTCTGAAACTAGGG